AGGAAAGAAAGATAGTAAATCAACTGTTCAGAAATCAACCAAAATAAATTGAAAAAAATATGATACGAGTATGGGGAACAGTGACAATACATACCTTGAGAGTAAAACCATTCCTCCCATTGCACACTATCAAAGGTCATTTGCAAAGCTTCTGCACCAGATAATAATAAAATTCAAAAAATTACAGGGGAAAAAACAAAGGAACACTTCAAAAGAAGTCAGTGTAAACATATAGTATAATCCTTGATGCAAGCACATGCAGATAAAATTTCAGCACATAGGTACAGGCAAACATGCATTTTTATGTGCATGTGACCTTTTTTTTATCAGTACCTTATGTGCATGACATGCCTACAGAAGTCAGTGAAGTTTTGCTGGAATTTTGTTTGAGTCGTTAACTTTTCTATATTTGGTAAGAAATTAATATAGAGAAAATTGGTAGAAAAGTTGTAAGTGGGTCCTACATGAAAAAGTTGAGGAAACTTTTTCCCTTTAAAAAAAAGTGAAAAGAAAAGTTTACTGATAAAAATTATGTAATGAAAAAAAAAAAAAAGAGTTAAAAATACTACTTTTACCCTCGTTTTGTTATTATGGTATTAATGTATAAAAAAACTTAAATGGCCTTGTAAGGGAAAGTTTAGAAAACTACTTTCCCCCAACCAAACACCCCCTGGTGAAGGGAATTACCCGCAACACATGCTAAAGAAAAGGGAGAAAAAATGACAAAAGGAAAATACAATTAGTAACATACCACCAACGGTCTCAAGCTCCCTGCCAGGTATGACTGGGAAACCCCCCAACAGATCTCCAACCCTTTCATCAATGTGGAGATTTTCTGAAGCATCAGGTACAGCTGCACCATGATCCAGGTGGCTCTTCTGCTTTTCATCACCACTCTGAATGGCCAATTGCACTGGATCTCCAGTATCTGCCAGCAAGTTTCCAGGAGGATCCACCAGCTGCGTTATAGTGTCAGAAAGAATGGATGGCAAACTCACTGTCACCAGTGGTGAAGTGGCATTCTCAACAGTTATCCACCTATCACTGTCCATGTGCTTGATGAAGTGATCTGAATATAGAACCCCTTCTTCCACAAGTGCCTTAAGGTCACATAGTTTAGAAGGCCCACGTTCAACACCAAAATGATCAAGGTAAATCCATTTCCCTATGGATGAATCAGCCACAATAGGGGTATGGGGTGGTGTGTTGCTTATATCCATATCTTCCTCCATTGATTGCAACTCTTCAGGAGGTGCTTCATCAACATTACAAGATTCTATGCCATTTGCACTGAGGTTCTGTGACTGTTCTTCTTTGTGAGACTCGCATATGACATTTTTCTCATCTGAACCATTAGAGTTCTGTAGAATGGTCTTTTCTTGAGATTCTTTAGCCGTTGAATGTGAGTCTCTTCCATTATGCTCCCTTTGGCTAACCTTATCTTCTTGACCTTCATTACTATCAAGAGAGGTTAGCTTCTCATTTGCTGCACTTTTCCTGCCCCTATCCCTGTAATTATGAGACCTAGTCCGATCATGTGGGGACCGCTCCAAACAACTAGGAGTCCTGTCCCTGCGATCATGAAATCGAGCTCGATCCTTGGGGGACAGTTCAGCATTGATGGGACTTCTGTTTCTATAATCATAGTTGCGACACCGATCATAGGGGGATCTCTCACGAGCATATGCTGATCTCTCCCGAGCATAAGGGGATCTCTCACGAGCATGTGGGGATTTCTCACGAGCATGTGGGGATTTCTCACGAACATAAGGGGATCTTTCACGACGGCTGGGGCTCCTATCCCTGTGATCATAATTCCTAATCCTATCATGTGGGGACCACTCAGAATATCCAGGACTACGCCCATGCTTGTCATAAACAACTCTAGAAGACAAAGAAGGTTCATGGTGTCGGGACAAGTACTTGTCCAATGAAGATACTCTTGATGATGAAGAATTTCTGTAGAACCTTTCAACAGATCGACCTGAATGATGCTCAGAGTGAGAAGCTCGACTCCCATCATCGGAAAGCCTCCTACTTTTTGCACTTGCATAATCCCCCCACTCACCATAGTGCTTGCGCTCGGTGCTATCTGAATCATTACCATGCCGCTTCAACCTGTTGCCAGAAGAAGTGTATTCTCTTCCATGGTTCTTTCCATTGCCATGATCACTCTTAAACAAGCCTTCCTCATCCACAATCTTCGAACTTATCCTCAAAGCCCTCTCATGGCTACCCTCCAATCTGGAAGAACTTTTGCCATTCTGAGACCCACTTCTACTGGATTCCTTCCTGTGATAAACATCATCAGTTGAATACTTGCCAGAAGGTGGTGTAAGCTCCTGCTCATATTTCCAACTTTTCTCCTTCCCTAGCTCATACTTGCGTGATTTACTAAAACTGTAATCATCCTTCACAACTTCGCCTTTATGCCATCTATCCGGAATAAACTCCCCTTTTTCAACTTCATCCTTGGCCCCTCGCAATGACCCAAGTTCTCCCCTTTCAGCTTCAGCTTTCCTACCCTTATCCACAACTATCTCACCCTTTTCCACATCCCCTTTGTGCCATTTCCCTGTGAAAATCTCCCCCTTCACCTCCTTTTTTCGGCCAGATACAACCTCCCCCCTTTCTACATCCTCTTTTCTAACAGAAACAATCTCCCCATTCTCTACCTCTCCTTGTCTCACAGAAATACACTCCCCATTCTCTACCTCTACTTTTCTCCCAGAAATAATTTGCCCCTTGTCCATTTCCTCTTTCCTCCATTTCTCCCCAACAATATCCTCCTTGTTGATTTCACTTCTCTGTATCTTCTCAGGCACAAAGTCACCACTCTCCACTTCCCTTGGCCACTTCAACGTGCCCAATTCACCTTCCTCTACTTCCTCCTTCTGTACAGAATTCTCACCATTTTCAACCTCCTTGCTGCTTTTCAATCCCAATTCACCCTTCTCTTTCACTCCAAATCCACTCTTGAACTCGCTCTTATCCACCTTCTTCTTAACCACAATCACTTTCTTAACCTTCACCATTTTCTTCTTCTTTCGCGGCTGCTGCTGCTGCTGTTGTTGTTGTTGCTGCTGTGTGTCTTCAAGCTTACCAGGTTTTGAGCTAACCCCATTGCTGCTGCCTCCACAAAGCGTCTTCTCTGCAACTGGAAACCTCTCCATGATATGCTGATGCTGATGCTGATGCTGATGCTGATTCTGCTGCAAAGGCATGCAAGCAACTCCTCCATCGCCCATGGAAATTCCCACCAGTTCCTCCCCAGTCTCCACTGCAAACCCTAGCTGTCCCCTCTCCCGGGGCTAGCAATGCTCATGCTGCAACAAATTCCACCCTTCCACTCCTCACACTCCCTCCGAATCAACAAAAACCCTAATTCACACAATTGCAAGACAAACCACATTAGCGAAATCAATGTAGGGTTTGATTGAAAAACCAAACCAACACGAAATCAAGCAGCCCAAACATAGCCTTCGATTGAAAAAGTGTTCCCAGCGCCGCGACACAAAAAAACCAAAAAATATTAATTGAAATCAGAGAAAGTGGGAGAAAGAGAGGGAAAATTACCCGGACAATTGAAATATATCGGCGAGGAGCTGTAAACCGACGAACGGTAAGACAGATCGAGAAAGAGTGAAGAATTAGAGAGCTCGAGAAAGAGAAATCTGAGAGTCGAAGGAAAGAAAGAAGAAGAAATCTATGGCGGATTTGTATCTTCTTCTGTGTTTGCTGTGACCTTGGTTTCTTTTCCCCCTCGCTCGCTCGTTGTGTTCTCGGTCTGAAACACGAAAACCTTCGAGTAATTTTTTTGTTTTTTGTTTTTTTATTTATTTAATTTAACGAACTCTTTAGCCCTTTTATCTGGGAGAATTTATTTTGGATTGGGCCATGGGGGGAGCCGGGAGCGGAACGGGGTGAATAGATGTACAATTACGGAAATAGACTTCGAGATAGGCGGACGCATGCCAAGTCGCCAGTCACCAAGTTGGGTTGCGACGTTGTTTGAACTATGGTCGTACTTTCTACATTCGACTCTGAGTCAATGGAGTCGGTCTTTTACAAGTTACAACGCAATGTTGGTCCACATATGTAAAGATAAGTGAATTTTCAAAACAAAAATAATGAATGAAGGGCGGGCTCTAATCTTATTAAGGTTTACGCTTTTGTAATTTGTTATAGTTAAAATATAAATCATTATTTTGTTTTGATAATTTGATTGATGAAAGAAATAGGGAAATGAAAAGAAAGAGATAAAATTAGCTCCTTAGGAGGCTTTTAGAAGTTTACCCATAAAGTTAGTTTTTTTTTCTAATTTTTATTAAAAAAAAATTTTCTCAATCATGTAAAAACACATTATTTAAGTTAAAAATTGGATAATAGAATTAAAAATAGAAACACAAGGCTTACAAACCCTAATATTTGAATTTATTAATAAATAAATATTGCTATATAAACTAGATTTAAAATATAAATTTTGAATTAACACCTCAAAAAAATTAATTTTATTTAAGTCTTTTTTGGTTTGCAAGGCTTTAAGGAAAAAAATATCAAGGGAAGCCATCCTTTTGAAGCCATGGCTTTATCTAAAGAAATAAATGACTACGTTTTCAATTATAGTCTATCCTATACCTAGAAACAAATATTTTTACATTTTTAATTAAAAAATACTTTCTGAATAATTATAGTTGATTGTATTATCTATAAACACTTATATTTCTCCAAAACAATTGTTATCAATTTACTATCATTGAATTTTTTTTGGCATTTGTGCCTAAAAAAATAAAGCTCAAGCCAAATGAAAGCTATATCGTGTATATTGCTTCCTTAAAAATATCTTTAAAAAAAAGAATACTAAACATACCCTAAATATATTATATTAATATGTAAATATATCTTTAAAATTATTTAAAAAATTTAATTTTAAAATATACAAAAATTAACTTAAAAGCACTTCCACAGCTGGAAAAAATAAAAGGTAAATGTTAATGGGAAGGTTGTTTGGTTTTGTAATTTTAAGCATCCTCTGTGGCCTTGTAATTTCCTCTTCAAAACATGGTAGGGATAACTTGGTAAAAACGTATGATATTTTGGCGCTCGACTTGGGCGGAAATATTTGGTAGATTTGGAATTTGAGGGATCATACTTGGACTATGAAAACATGGAAGCCCATATTCTTGGATTGTGGTGGGCCGGATCCTGCCTTTTTGGGAACTGACACAACATATGCAATATCGGAAATATAATTCTTTCTTTTGTCCGCCAGAAATTTGGACACCACAATTGAACTTCGATTGCCATTTTTCCTTCTCCTTTTTATCATCGTAACAAGTATTGTATCTGAGATAACAAGGGAAATATTTTTAGTCGGTCATGTATTCTAAACAGTTTTCATATATTTTTTAATTTTTTTTTATTAAATAATTTAAAAAATATATTTTTTATTTTGATTGTACAATAAGAAACAACTATTTTTCATCATTTATTCTACTTCATCCATGTATTATGCAATTCAACTTAAAACCTTTTACTTCTAACGAAAAAAAACAACAATTGAACTACTTAAATCGTTAGTAAAAATATATTTTTATATTAGTTTAATATATGTAAAAAAATTAATTCTTTTAAGAGATGATTATAAGATTTAAATACTAAATTTGACTTATAAGATAATATTTACTTACATTAAATTTAATCATTTGAATTATAAGGGAAATGTAGATTGGCAAGGATTTATACATTACAGCAAATGTTTTATTTATAATGTTATGAGATATTATAATTTAAAATATTTAAGATTTCCAATAAATAAAGACGCAATTTTTTAAAACCTTTTTTAGTTAAGGGTCTGTTTGTTTTGCCAAAAATTAACTTTAAAAATTGTTTTCCATATTTTTTGGTGTTTGGCAACCATCTAAAAAATAAGTCAACTAAAAACAATTTCAATGAACAAAAAATAAAATGTTGCTTTTTTGGAAATTGACACCCATAATTTTTTTCTAAAAGTTGATTTCTTAGAAATCATACGGGTCCTAAATTAGTTCTTCAAAGCATGCGGTTCGGGTTAAAACAAAAGGAAACAGGTGGTGGGTTTTCCAACCTTAAGAGACTAATTTGGTTAGCTACTTTATTATGAAAGCTTTTACTAAAAAATGATTAGAAAAATAGTACATAGAAAATTAAAAAGTACCATATTGAAAGTTGCTAAATATTATAATGAAGTTTTGGAGAGTTAAGACTGATATTCATTAGTCTCATAAAGTTTTGTTAAAATTTTATTGAGTTATTAATTTTATTGTATTTAGTAAGAAATTGATATAGGAAATTTAATAACGAAAGTTGTTAAATGAGCCCAATATAACGATAATTATAGGGAAACATTTTTCTTTCAAAATAGGTGGGAAAAAAACTTTATAAGTTAAAAATTGTGTAAGAGAAAATAAATGTTAAAAATGTCACTTTTACCTTTCTTTTATTGTAGCATTAATGTGTAAAAATACATAAATAACCTTATAAAGGAGAAAGTTTAGAGAACTTTAGGGAAAAGTTTCTCATCAACCATATACTCGGATTGGGAATTATGTCAAAGAAAATAAATACTTAAAATACTAGTTTTACCCTTTTTTATGAAAATATGTGAATAACCTTGAAGGGAAAAGGTTTAGAAAAATTCAAGGAAAGTTTCCCCATAATCAAACACCCCTAAGTTTGTGGCAACTTTATCCAACTCATCATCCTTCTTCTTCTAGTAATTATCCAACCAAAGAACAATCTGACCCATTGAGAGCTGTCTCTAAAGCTACCCTTTGGTGAAGATTGCAACATCATAAATGAAGATTTGTTTATGATCTGTAACCTCACAAACATTTTAAAGTTAATTTTTTGACAAGGATGCATGTAGAAATGGCATTAGAGAAAGATGCACTATCAGCCATATTTGAGAATGGAGCTATGTTAGTTATATTTTTAGTTAGCTAGATGCAAACCAAAGAGAGAACTCAAGGAGGTTAGGTTTTTTCTTCTTTTTGCTCTTATTTTCTTGTTTCTTTATTACTAAGTTGAAATGCCTTGAATGTGTTTGATGAAATGCCATAACCTAAAACGCTTGAGCGATTAATATATTCTATGGTGAGGAACTATGAGGGATTAATTTGAACACAAGTCGACTAGCCAACCAATTGAACATCACCTCCCTCTGTCATTTTTGTCCCTAATAGATGATATCATGATTAGTATTATCTTAAATGCCTTGACACTAGAATTAAGCACATTTATAGACCTCTATGCAAGTATAGTACATTATAGTGGTTCAAGGTTGACAAAGGGGAATTTGCCATGTGGAAAGCAATTTTTGAGGGCTATAAATACACCTCTAACCACCACATCTAAAGTACATTCATTAAACCCTTAGTTTTCTTAATTGAATAGCTTACCCTACTAAAACCCCCCTATGTACTGACTTATGTGTCATAGTGTCTACCCTAAGGACCAACCTCAAGTTTTACAAGTATTCTAGTCGAAGTTTGTTGTTGGAGTTGCTATGTTATTTTAGATGTCACCCAACTTATTTTGTGCAATTACATTGATGGCAATTGTTGGAATACCAGATACTAAAAGCTTACACTTTATTATTTCATTCATGGTAACAAAAAGAATTAGCCAAAGAGGCATGCATGGTTGTGGCTGAGGTAAAGGTCAGACAATAACCTAGTTAGTACTACCACATAGTCATCTAAACAGTGTTAAAGAAGCATTCTCTAAGGGGAAAGAGAACCACTCATAAGAACAAAATACCTAAAACAAACTCCAAAATGCTGTAATAGTAGGTATAGTGGCTACTCGATTGGGGGCAATGCAATAACAATTTAGGGTTATACAAATTGTTGTAACTTGGATACTTGCTCGAAACAACCCAAACAATCCGTTAATTGCCTAATTGAACCCTAACCAACAACTAAATCAAACACAGCTTGAAGATGGGAACCAGTAGGATGAATAGCAGAACGACTAGTCATAAGTTCAGAATAAGTAGTGACTTAGCCCTTTGGGTGAACAAAGTATTTTGAAAAAGGCTAAAAAGCTAGAAAATGTGGAGAAGTTTATTGCGCAGTACAAGGTTGATAAGCCTACAACTAAACCCTATAATGATGTATTGTCCCTGCTTAGCTAACGAATCCATCATAAACCTTACCTAATTGGTTTCAAAGTCCTTTACATTAAGCCATACGATGGCACTAAAGACCTTAATGATCATCTACATAGTTTCTGTTTGGCAAAGCAAGCATAAAATGCCTTAGATGCATTGATGTGTAAGATCTTCCCCTCTACTTTTGAATGGAATGCTAAGATGTGGTATTACACCATACTTCCAAGATTAGTTAGCTTGTATATATTGAATGGCAGCTTTGTTTGTAACCAAAATTTCAACTAAAAGGCTAATTAGGAAAACCATCCCCCATCTCATACAAGTTGTTCAGCAAGAATGGGAAATGCTGAAAACTACATGAATTATTTTAGTGATGCTATCTTAGACATGAATCCATTTGATTTGGCCATTCGTATAACTACTATTATTTAGTGGCTTCAACATGAATGGTTCAATGTTAATTTGGTCAAACATTCTCTAACCACCTTCAAAGAAGTTAATAACAGGTCAGAAAATTCATCATAGTTGAAGAATTCCCGTAAGGCACTAACATTGCAAGTAGTAAAAAAGGCCAAATGCCAAGTG